CAGCATGAAAAAGTAGACTTCTTTTGGTCCGAATGAAGTCTACTCCATTTCCTTTGATAACAAAAAAAATAGAGTAGACTTCTCGAGTAGACTTTTTTAGAAGCAGGTCATTTTTGCAATTGACCAACCTTTGACTTTGTAGAGTAGACTTCTCTATGCAAAGTAGACTTCTCTGAGAAGTCTACTTACGGAAGTAGACTTCTCATAGAAGTCTATTTTTCAGAGTAGACTTCTCCGAGAAGTCTACTTTCATAAGTAGACTTCTCGCAGGTCATTTTTGTAATTGACCAAAAAGTCAAATATTTTGCAATTGCAAAAATGACCTGCGAGAAGTCTACTTACGAAAGTAGACTTCTCTGAGAAGTCTACTTTTCATTGAGAAGTCTACTAATATTTTGGCAATTGCAAAACTAACCTGCGAGAAGTCTACTTTTATCCGAGAAGTCTACTTTTCTTGTTTTTTTTTAAAAATCATTTTTATACAATATATAACGAATTATTGGAAGACCCAAAAGATTCTTCCGATGTATCATTTCTGGGTTTTTTAAGATTTTCGTGATCCTAAGCTTTTGTTATTAAGTTTTCTTGCTTATGTATAAGTTTTGCATGTTTATATATTATAGGTATAGTCGAATGAGTTTTCATGTTTTATATGATACTTAGCTTATTAAGAGTAGACTTCTTAGTCTACTCTAGAAGTCTACTATATAGACTTCATCCGACTTTCAGAGAAGTCTACTTATGCAATTTTGATGTCTAATGTGGTTTGGATTTTGTTCTTTTTCACAGAGAATGGCTCACATACCCGCTGTTTATGGAGAATGGGTTAAGAGTGAATCAATGTGGCAGTTCGAGGTGGATAATAGCAAAGAAGGGCGAATGTTGTTCTTAAGAGATGGTTGCACACATGGTGAGTTTCTTGGTGAATGTTGGCAAAGGAGGGCGAATAGCAAAGAAGGGCGAATGTTGTCACTTTTAAGTTATGTAAAATTAATGTCTTTAAGAAGTCCACTCGAGACAATGAGAAGTCTACTTCAGAAGTCTACTCGAGACAAGAGAAGTCTACTCGGTTGACAAGTTACATGATATAAATGAGAGAAATGTCCCTCTGAATCACTTTTAAGTTATGTAAAATTAATGTCTTTTAGAAGTCTACTCGAGACAGGAGAAGTCTACTCGAGACAAGAGAAGTCTACCCGGTACAATTAATGTCTTTTAGAAGTCTACTCGAGACAGGAAAAGTCTACTCGAGACAAGAGAAGTCTACTCGGTTGACAAGTTATATGATATAAATGGGAGAAATGTCCATCTGAATCACTTATAAGTTATGTAAAATTAATGTCTTTAAGAAGTCTACTCGAGACAGGAGAAGTCTATTTTGTAGAATAGATAAACATAGATAATTTAGAATTTGATACAAAACATTCAATGCAATTCAACATTACATAGAAAATAACCCTCTAAACAAACAAACATTTAAGGATCACTAATTATAAATTTTAAAACTGACATAAGAAATTACTAGTAAACTAAAATCTCTGAAAATTATGTATGCAACTGAAGTCTGCTCGAGATCGAGAAGTCTACTATAGAAGTCTGCTCAAGATCGAGAAGTCTACTCGAGAAGTCTACATTCAGATCTGCAAATAAATCAACAAAATTCAGCTCTGCAACAATAACAAAAAATTTAGATCTAGAACAAAATCTATAAAATTTATACAACAATAAACTCAGATCTACAAATATAAACTTAGATCTACAACAATAAGCTCAAATCTAAACTAATAAGCTCAGATCTATAATAATAATCTACTATATTTATAACATTCAGATATGTACAAAAATCAAAAAAATTCAGCTCTGCAATAATAACAAAAAATTAACAAAATCTACAAAATTTATACAACAATAAACTCAGATCTACAAAAATAAACTTAGATCTACAACAATAAGCTCAAATCTATAATAATAAGCTCAGATTTGCAATATGAACACAAAGCAAACAAAAGGAGGAACACAAAATCTCATATTTGCTTACCACTACCATAACCTGCAAGTGAGAGGAGGTTGAATGCAAGATAGGGAGGATGGAGAGGATAATGATAGCAAGAGAGGAAAGAGAAGAAATTCATGGCCAGAGAGAAGGGAGAAGAGAGAGAGGCGTTTTTTAGATAGAGAGAGACTTTATTGTTAATACAATTAGGTTAAACTCTCCTTATGTATGTAGAAAAAAATTCGTGTAAGTAGACTTCTTGGAGAAGTCTACTCGAGAAACCGAGAAGTCTACTCGAGAATTCTACTTAGTATTCATTTATAACCTAATTTATTTATGATGATTTAAATTGATTATTTTGTGTCAATTTTTATTTTTAATAGGTGTAAAAATATATATATTTATGTTATGGATCTAATCTTTTTATCAAAATATTTTTCATGATTTTTAAAATTAATTGTAAACAAACTATTATAGAGTAGACTTCTCCAGGAAGTCTACTCGAGAAGTCTACTCGAGCTCGAGTAGACTTCTCGGAGATAAAACAGTAATTGCGGCAGCGTTTTTTTTGTTTGGTCAGAAGGGTTAATGTTGTAATTTCACAACTCTTGTGAGTTATTTTTGTCAAACATGCAATAAGGGGTCTAGTTTTGCATTTAAACTCAAATTTTGAGTCATATTCAGCAATTCCTCCTTTTTTTATTAACCTCTTTTGTTGTTGATTTTAAAAATATGTAGCATAGACATCAAGTTAATTTCTTTTATATGAATGCTTTTTCTTTGTTAAATTTGCTTTTATATTAATTTTCAAATTATTTTTTTTTAGACATCAAGTTAATTTTCTTTTACTATATTAGTTTTTTGTTAATTTAAATCTTTTGACATAAAATTTCAATTTAAATGTGAGGGATACTATAGTTTGGTTTTTCTAACATGATTTTTTCTATTGTTACTTAAGCTTTTTTATTTTAATTTTTCCATCTATAAAACAAAATTAATGTTTAATATTTTTGTCAATTAATATAGGATGAAGAAATTTTTATAAACTATATTATAAGTTTTAGTTTTTATGTTATTGGTTTTTTTTATTAGTTTAACTCTTTTGACATTAAATTTCCATTTAATTTTGAAAGATACTCCCTCCGTTCCAGAAAATATGATGTTTTAGCTTGTTTACATAAATTAAGGAAGAGTTACTTTTTAGTTATTAGCGTATTACTTTTTTACAATCATTACTTATTAACCAATAGTGATTTAAGGATTTGAATAGTTTTAATTATTTTTCTTGAAATCTGTAAGAATATGTATTTAATACTCTAAAACATCAATCTTAATGGAACAAGTAAAAAATCTAAAACATCGTACATTTAAGAACGGAGAGAGTACTATATTTTGTTTTTTAAAATATTATTTTCTTTTCTATTTGTTAATTAAGATTTTTTATTTTGATTTTTTCATCTATAAAACAAATTAGTGTTTAAAAATTAGAAATTAGTTTTTTAATATTTTAATTATATTTAACATTTTTGTGTTTAATTAAGTGTATCTATGTATAGCAATCAGATTTTATTACTTGTTAAATGTTAAGTGTAAAATTACTTATATAGTATCTTTCTTTGTTATTTTTAAATCAGAAACACGCTGTTTTGTATATTTAAAAAAAGAGTAATTGTAAGGAATGGTGTCGAAAGTTTTCAAAATTAGGCCCCCGTTTTGGCACTATTTCAGTCCAACTATTCCAAAACAAAATGACTATATAACCCATATATACTGTCTAAGTGACAAGCGCGTGTGCGTTAATATTTATCCCATATGCTTTAATTACGTATGAAAAAATCTTTTAGTTTGATTTTATTTTAAAACAGAAATATTTTTTTTTTATGAAATCTCATTCGCTATCGTGTAGGTGTCTCGGTCTTCTAATTTTTGAGGCTAACATCAATGCTGCAGTGAAATCTTCTTTTCGTCTCATTCTCTAAAATGCACACTCTCTTCTCAATGTCTAGGGTTTTCTCACACCTCTGCAATTATATCTTCTTTGGAACCTCCTTTATTTTTCTCTCTTTTTCCTTGTATAATCCAGATCAAAACCCTAGATGACTGATCTTAATTTAATTTCGGTTGTAGCTCTAAATGAAACGAAATGTTTATGTGGTAGGTGAAAGAGTATCTGCTAATGTTACCCTTACTTCACCAATGCCGCTCCTTATATAACACATTTGTTACATGTGCATGATTTATTATATTCCCTAACAAGTCTATCATCAACCCTAAATTTCGGAATAAACCCTCACCTGCACAAAATTAGCATACACAAACATAACGTTAGCAAACCCATCAACGACATCATTACATGTTAGCGATGTAAAAAGTTAACAATACAACAACCGCTTAATTGACATGCATAAATAAAATATTAGCGTCCATGTCCATACCTACTATATCGCCCTCACTCTCTCTACTGATATCATATCATTGCAATTTGTGTAGGGGTAAAGTTGTCCATTATATAATTTATGTGGTGAGAGATTTAATTTATAAATCATTACATCTGTATACTCAAAACACCTTTTATTTATGTATTTACACCTAACTCACTCTTAAAAATATATATTTGATTTAGAAACTGATTGCAACTTTAGATAGTTATTTATTGTTGATACCAATATTTTAGAAATCAGGAAAATATTAAAAATAATTTTAAAATAGGTTTGTTTAATTTTTTTATATATACTTTACATATTTTAAGAGTAATTTTATATTTTATTTTGATTTATACAATTTTTTGTATATTTAATATTCTTAGGACTTTTATATATATATATATATAACGAATCAGTAGGTTTCATTGCGCCGATTATGTCCTTGATGTTCTTTAACCACATGGTGCTGAGCCTAAAGCTATGTTGTTGATACGGATCACAAACCTTTTCTTTAGACTGATTACACCATAATGAACTTTTCTTGTTGTTGTCCAGGTGGAGACAAAGCTGAGAGAAACGGCAAAGAGGCTGGAGCATATTAATTTTTATTTATAATACTGATTTAACATGTTATAATAACTGTTCATTTTAAATAGATCTCTCTCAAAAGATTAATCCTTTTAAAAGGAAAATAAAAACCAACTAAACACACAAATTCGTCCAGTATCAAAAGATGGATCCGTCATTAATTATACTTATAACACCAGGTCTTTCGATGATTAAACCATATACTGATATGAATAAATGAAAACCCTTATCAGAGTTCAAAGAAGCGTCACCATCTCAGATTCTCAATCACAGATTGATGCACTTTCCCAGTTTTTTCTGGAGCTCCTTTGTCTCTTTCTCAGCCCTCTCCAGATTCTCTCTAAGCTTCTTAATCTCATCGCTCGACCGTTTATGAGCTTCGTTTGCCCTCTTTTCCGCTTCAAGTCTTGCGGCTTGTTCTTCACCCAATTGATGCTCCAGCCTCTTTGCCGTTTCTCTCAGCTTTGTCTCCACCTGGACAACAACAAGAAAAGTTCATTATGGTGTAATCAGTCTAAAAAAAAGGTTTGTGATCCGTATCAACAACATAGCTTTAGGCTCAGCACCATGTGGTTAAAGAACATCAAGGACATAATCGGCACAATGAAACCTACTGATTCGTTATATATATTGATCAATAAAAGCAGAACCACAGATTTTTGTTCTCTATACTTCTGCAATGATATTCCCAATTGAATGAACCAGCCACACGAACCCATTAACTAACCAGATACCGCCTGCTTCGGTTTATACTTCCAATTTGGTACATAAGTGGTATTTTCAATGTTTGGAAATTTCCAAAGATATAACCTTTTTAGGAAGATCAGAAATTTAACACTAGTAAAGATTTGATAAATAGAATTTTACCATCACTGTGATGCGGCTAAGCTGCTGGTCATAAGATGTCTCTATCTGCTTCTTGAACTCAGATATCTCATTCTTTGAATAACCCCTGAGAGATTCAACCTCCTTTTTCTGGTCCCTTAACTTGATAGCCTCTTCCTGAGAAACCAATCATTATAATAAGCATCATCTGCTTACAAAAACAGATAAATGAAAGCAAACTCAACGATTTTCACCTGTAGCTCGTGGAACAATTCATCTGTAAACGGTTTTCCATTGTTCTTCCTAGCTATGGAATCAACAAGTGAGAGAAGTTTCTCAACTTGCTCAGCTTTCTTGCCCTTATCCTTAGTCTTGTTATCAAACAGTACCAATCGATTGTCACATAGCTCAAGTATATCCTAGAAAACCCACACAATTCAAATAACATAGGTAAACTGAAAATCCTTTTCATCCGTTTAAAAGACTCAAGAAGATAATCAGACACTCACTTTCAGAAACTCAGGGCACGCCTGAGCCAAAAACTCCTCTAGTGTCTCTTCATTCTCCTCCAACTCATCTCCACCAGTGAAGACAACTATCATATAATTGGCGATTTTGCTGCCAAACAGAGTTTGCAAGTGACATAGAGCAGATTTCTCCTCTTCAGTAAGTCGACCCCTCACAGAGAACACCAACAGAACAGCATGGATCCCATCTTCAGCCAAAGTTATGCATCTCACAATCTCTTTACCGATAAAATCAGCAGCCATTGATACATCAAAAAGACCTGCAGAGACGATATCACCAGATTAGCATCACATAACAGAACAAATATTCAGACTCTCAATGAAAACAATTTGGGAAATGTTGAAATCAAGTGTTACCAGGAGTATCAATAACATTGATGATCTGACCATCTTCTTGAACAACTCTATGTGACTCACATGTGCTTGTGACTCCAAGAGTACTTACTCTTGACCTAAACGCTTTCTTCCCAAGGATGCTGTTCCCTGTTGCGCTCTTTCCGTTTCCAGTACGGCCCACAATAACTAGGGTTCGACTAGGTTTTGATGATGAAGCAAATTCCCAATCATCTTCTATCAAATCTCCACCCATCTCAATACTTTTTTTTCCTGCAAAAAACAATGATATTTTTGTTGATCGCTTAAAGGGTCGAAGTAAAGGGTCTGATCTTTGATTAACTTACAAAATCCAAATGAAATAAGAAGAACAATGACGATCGAAAGGACTTTAGATACCAAAACTATCAAGTTTCGGATCGAATATTACTTGCTTGCAAAGAGGAATTAAACACCAAAACAGCAGAGAACCGGAAGAATCAAATCAAACAACAGAATCAACAGATGAAGACAATCGATGAGGTAAGAAAGAGAAGTTACTTGCTTAGAAAGAGGAAAGCTGAAGCGACGAGAGATTTTTAGATAACATTAGCTGTCAAAAAGCAAATATCTTATTTTATATGGAATCAGTCAACTTGACTAGACACCAGAAGTCTTCTCTGATACTAACTGTAGTTAAGTCAAGCTGATAACCTACTACAGTGATTATACACCGTACGATGTATTTAGTTTTCATCTTACCGCCAATATGAGATGACGTCATTTGTTTGACCTCGGTTTAGCATAGTTCATTCAGAAGCTCATTTCGAAAATACTCAGTGTAAGGAATGAAATAATTATTAAATATACGTTAGTATAAATTCAAGATCATATAATATATTATATATTTTTTTATAAATTTATATAGTACGCTATAACATTGACAAAGGTTTTTTGATTTAATAAAATATAGAATAATTTAATTACTAGGTGTTGGACTTGCGCGTCCGCGCAGGTATATGATTCTTGAAGTAAATTTTATAAATGTTTAAATTATATAGTATAAGAAGATTTATTATATATTATATTATAAGATAGTCTGTTTTCTGGTACATATGTATTATGGCTTTATTTCGAGAGAATGAATAGTCCGTTTTTCATATGTGTATAGAAAAGTTAATTGTCTTTTTTTGCTAACAGAAAAGCTAATTGTCTTGCTGATGAATTAGCTAACTCTGCTTTTTCCTTTCCTCTAGGTGTCCAGTATTTAGATTCGGTTCCACCTAGTTTAGTTTCGATTTTCAGTTACGATATAATCGGTTTTGCGCGTCCAAGAAGAGTTTGTGTCTAGCTGGTTTTTATGTTTTGAATAAAATCAGGAGACAATGTCTCCTCCACCCCTTCCTACCAAAAAAAACTATAGTTATATTAATAATATATTGTTTATTTATGTGTTATGAGGATTAAAATTAAATTTTGTAAATACAAAAATATAAAATTAAAAATAAGATAATATAAGTTACGTGCAACTAATTCAATATTGTAGACACACGAGTAGTTATTGTAAAATATGATAATATGTTATTGGTTTTATATGAAATTTATGTTATTTAATATTGTATTTAGTTTTTTTCTTCTCATTCTCCCTTCCTATTCTTTCTTCTTCATTTATATTATATGTTTCTTTTTTTATGTTTTCCTTCTCTTCTTTTTTCTATTATATGTTTCTGTTTTTATGTTTTTCTTTTTCTTTTTTTTTCTTCTCTTTCTGTTTCTCCTGCTTCTTCTTCATCTTTTCTTCTTCTATCCTTTCATTTATTTTTGTTCATCTCCTTCTCCTTTTTATCCTTTGTTTTTCTTTTTCTCCGTTTTTCTCCTTCTTCCTTTTTTGGATTACCATGAAGGTCTAGGATGAAGCCTGCAATCTCTGTAGACCCGAAACTACATCATGTAATATTAGTTTAATCCTAAGTGTCACTCGATCATGTGATCTTTAAGCTTTGCCTAGATCTCTTACCAGTCAAGTTAACGACTCTTAGTTACTCCTTCGTCTTCTCCTCCATCCCTTCTTCTTCTTCTTTTTCATTCTTCTCCTTCTCCTTCGTTGTTCTTCCTCTCCCTTCTTCTTCTATGTATCCATATTCTTCTTCATCCCTTCTTCTCCTTATTATCATTCGTCTTCTTCTTCTCTTCCTCCTTTATGCCTTCTTCTTTTTCATCCATTCTCTTTCTTCTCCGTTCTCTTCTTCCGTTTTTTTCATCTTCTCTATTGGTCTTATTCGTCATCACTTCTCCTTCTTCTCATTCGTTTTTCTTCTTTTCCATCCCTCCTTATTATCCTTTCTTTTCTTTCTTCTTCTTTATCACTTATTCTCCTTCTTCTCATGTTCTTCTATTTTTTTTCTCTTTCTTCTTCTCTATTGTTATTCTTTTTTATCTACTCTTTTTCTCATACATTCCTTCTCTTTATTCTCCTCCTTCTTCTTCTCCTTCTTATTTGTTCTTTTTCTTCTTTGTCAAACAAAAAATGATAAATTTAAAACTAAAAAGATTAAAAATAACAATCATATACATAGTAAACAAACTGAAACAAAATATTTAACATATAAAAATTAATTTCGACTAAAAAAATATTGATGTTTGCAAAGATATTTTTTTTTTGAAAATCTAAATAGGAAAAAAAATTAGCCAAAACAAATTAGAGAAAATGAGATAATGTGAGTTACTGTTTTTATTTCTCTTATAGTTTATTGAAATATTATTATCATAAATAGTTTTATTATGTTAATTGTAAATTATGAAAATCTTTTATTAATTTACTGATTTTTCCTATTATTAATATGTTATTACATCTACAATAAAAAAATTATCAATATTGTTTGTAATATTTTTGAAAATATGCTAAAATCCATATTTTTTAGAAGATGCTTTAAATTTATTCAGTTACTGTTTCTTAATTAAAAAATATTTTGATTTTTATTTGGGAAGCTTGCTACATAATTTTAGTAATCGAATATTAATAAAATATTACAAAATCGATTCATTAGATATTTTATAGAACTAAATATAATTTAAATAAAATTATATGGTTATTATAATTTACTGTTAATTAATCATAGTTTTTTTAAATTTGATCATGATGCTTTGAAATTTGAAATTAGTTTAATCAAAATTTAATTTAATATTAGATTGCACTAAACATATAACAAATAATATATAATTATTCATAAAATTAGGTTTTAGTTTATTTTTCTATAAACATATGTGTTTGGTTATATTATTGCATAATAATAAAAATATGATTTTTGTTTTTCAAATATTTTTTTGCGATTTTTTTTATATTGTGTAAATGTATATAATTTAATTATATTAATTATAATTTTTATTTTCTTATATTGTTACATAATAATAAATATTTGAAAATTATTATTTGTTATTTTTCGCAAAATGTTTTAAATTGTATAATTGTTTATAATTTAATCTTATATATATAGTAATTATAATTATAATTTCGTTTTATATAAACTTGGATTTTAATTGTAAGATTAATTAGAATTTTCGAAATAACTATTTATGAAAATATTTAAATTATTTAAATGTGTTTGGTAATTAGAGTTAAACTAATCCTAATTGTATTTGAAAATTATTGTGTTTGGTAATAGGAATATAAGAATTAAATAAAGAAAATATAAAATGAATATTAATTGGTTGTATTAACTAATGACTAAACTACAATTAATGAAATTCTAAGAAAAATGTTAAAATGCAATGGCATTTCATGTAGTATAACACATGATTTATGTTTAAATATTGAAGTGATCTTCTTTTAATAGTGTAGATTATATAAATTAATTTAAAAATTAAGTATTATATATATGGTCCAAGATTTGTCTAGACAAATCCCTAAATTAATGACATATATAATATTTATGTATAAATTTATTTGTTTATGATTATTGAATAATGATTAAATAATAATGGTTAAGTGTTTGAATAACCGAATAAATTAAAAAAAGATATAATTATTATGTATTAATTTTGTAATAAAATCAAAATATCATTATAAAAAGTGAATAACTAAATTTAGAATCAGAAGTATTTGAATATGTATGTATACGGTAAAAATAACTGGAAACAAAAATATAGATATAAAACAATGAAATTAGGAAGCAACAACTATAATCATAAATTAAAGTAAATAACTTGCTTTGTGAATAATTTTTTAATTCTATAAATATTTAATCAAAAAATATTTTCCAAAATATAAAACTATTTTGATAAATAAAACTGCATATAAAAGCATAGATTGCTCTTTAGAGCCATTTGATTGTCATCAATAGATATTGATCGGAAGTTTGCCTACTTATAAAATACAGTATGCGGTAGTTATGACTTGGATACATGTAAATAATCATAGCATGATATTTTGTAATTACTTATAAATACATCAATCTGAATTATTGTACTTAAGGAATTTGAGGATCAAAAAGAATTCAAGAACACCAATTAAGTTAGAAATCAGTGAAAAGCCACTAAATAAAAAATAATGTGTATTGTATAATAAAAACATATTAGACAAAATTAGAAGTAATATTTATTATGCGAAACTTAAAAATCACATGTTTTCCATTCAATTATTTGTTACTTTATAACACATATTACAACAGTAGTGTCAGTAAACTATTAATACTCATCTAGTTCATCGATAAATTAATTTACGCAACTTACTTGATTTCATTTTAGATATGAGTAATTGCAAAGATATTAAATTATAGTGTATACGCGTATTATATACATAATAAAACAAAATATTAACTTTAAAATGTATTGAATATGAACAGAGTTTTGATGTATTTAACATATAAACTTTATTTTAATTAGCTTCTATAAAATATTGATATCAGTTAAAATCAAAGTTTAAATTAGTAACACTTGCTTGATTAAACTAAAAATTGATAATATAGCTTTATAATCAAATTAAAATCTTTAAAATATAATAAATATTTAACATATTAATCTATTTTTAATATTTCACCTGTTTGATATACTAACTTTCAACTTTTATCAAGTTTAAATATTTATTATTTTGGTTAACTTATATGGTTTTATTATAAAAAGTTATATTAAACCCAAAATTACTTATAATTATAGATGACTGTTAATTAAGCATATTGTTTTTATAATTTCTTTTTTCTAATAATTTATATTTTTTATATAATGATTTTTGAAACATCTATACTTCCTTATTTCTAATGTGAGATTTTTCAAACATACTCATATTTATTTATCATTTAAAATAATTTATATTTGTTTTTGAAAATTGAATTATAACACATAAAAAATATTTTAGTTATTTTTTAATTAAATAATATATTTATATTGTTATTCTGTTGTGTAATCGTTTTGCATCCGCTGGCTAACTAGTCAAAAATGTCCTGCAAATAAATAAATTGTTATACTAGTCATACAAACTGCTAGTTAACTGTTGATCACAACTGCCTGCTTTCGCAAACTCCTACGTTAGTAACCGTTGCTTTTAAACCAATCAAACTTTCACTAATATATGTTCTCCCGATGGTTTAGCATTACCTTGCAAATTTCATGAGAGCATCATATAGTTTTCTCGTTTCTACTTATCGCCTGTGCAAATG